AGGGCTAATGTTTCCCACCCCTCAGACCGAAAACAACAAAAACCAAGGACAAACAAATCCCTCAGAAGCTAGATCATCCAAGTAGGGGTCACGCAGCTGCTCTGCTGGGGGTCAGTTCTACGCAGATGCCTGTGTTGCTGTTTCTACAGCTTCACTGCACTGTAGGTTGATCCTGGAGGTTGCTGCCGCTTGCTTTTCCTACAGCTCAGCTGCGCTCCTTTACACTTAGTTCGGTTGGGTTTCAGCAGAACTCCTTTCCTCTTGACTCAAAAAACTTGACTGAGTGGGGGTCACCCTGTTGCTGGTCTGTCTCTGCCAGTAGCTTCCCCCCTGGAACTGTCTATTCAGCACCATGGTCAGTCGTGTTTTTCACTGCTGTCCCGTTCAGCACCAAAGTCACACTCCGAAGAAAATGGGAGGGGGGACTGGCCATGTGGCAGAGAGAGGTTGATGGCGACAGTCCCTCTGCTGGAGTGAGCAAGACAAGATGGTGCACTTCTGGTCTGGTACCCTGGCTTTTCCTGACAAAAACCACACCCCCAGCAATGACATGGGTGGTATAGTATAAACAACTTGGTCACACCCACACAACACTAAACTCCACCCCTTTCTCTGTAACCAGGAGACTCAACCATGTCAACTTCCTTCCTGCCCTGCTTGATTTCTTACACAGGGGGATGGAGAGGTCTTGCGCTCTAAGAAAAGTGACCTTGAAGAGTTGCCAGCTCTGATCAGCTCCTCTGTTCCTAAGGACAGTTTCCCAGGGGATCTCATTGACTAATTCTTTAAACATCTGGAAGTTCACTCTTCTCAAGTTCAGTGTCCTGGCTTTGCTCTTTGCCAGGTCCATGTTCCTTGAGATCATAAAAGCAACTAGGACGCTGTCACTACAGCCCAGACTGCCTCTAATCTTAGCTTCTTTAATGAACTCATCTGCGTTGGTGTGCAACAGGTCCAGTAATGCTTCTCCTCTTGTTGGTTTGTCTAATACCTTGAGGGGCATTCCTACTCAAGGGAGGAATCTCCACACACACTCCAAGAAGGGGTATATTAGAAGACCCTGCCGTTAAAAAGTGGGACTGGGTTTTTATAGTATAAAGCAATTGACTGTCAGTCATATGTTTCTATGCAAGCTTTGTCAGCTCAACAACCTTTGGTTCAGCAGCTTTAGATAAGTTATCAGTACTATCATTTGTTGGTTCCTTTATCAGAAACTTTGTCTACCACACCTTCACTGGTACCAGTTTCTGTCAGGAAACATTGTTCTTCCTCAGAATGTTTAACTTTGTTGAGTCAGACTGGTTTCAGCATTCTTCAACATCAAAAGCAGCATGTCAACCCCTTCTCCATCCACCACTGATAACCTTTGCAAATAGGGTATTGTTTGAGCTGTTTTACCCCCACTCTAGGCAGAACATCCTGCTACAATCACTTAGTATTAAATAATAGAGAAGAGATAACAGATCTTGATTGTGGACTCTCCGCTAGAGGTTTCCCGAAGAACTCAGTCGCACGGTCCCCTTTTGGCAGGAGGAGAGAGCGACCAAGTTTCCTCTCTGAGTCCCAAGGTGAAAAGACCTTTATTTCAAAACTCCCGTGGTTTATATGGGCTCGGGGGGAGGTCAAGAAGAAGGAACCTGATTGGGCCAAGGTCCAGGGGAATGGGAGTGGCTTGAGGGCTCTACTGACCAATGGGGGATACAGGAGGACCGCGTTCCAGTAATAGAACCAGGGACTGGGGAGAGGCGGGTGAGGTAGCCTATCCTGCTTATGCAGAGGTGGAGTCAGCAATTGGGAAGGGGAGACAACATGGTTCCGAATGGGGTCACGTGAGTCGTGGAAATTACACAACTCAGGGAGAACCCGTACAATAGAAAACGCAAGTAGTTGTTGTTTTTCTGCTTCGCTCGATCCCGGGAAGTGGCAGCTGTAATGGACCCGTTTCTAAAGCTGTTCTTTCCAGGCTTCATAATCCTGCCGTTCGCCCACAAAGAGATATCAGACCTCAACTTGCATATATTTAAGTATGTGAATTATGTTATTCCTGTTGATTTCAGTAAAGTGGGTTTCAGGACACAGTAATTGTAAACAGAAATATTTTGAAGTATTTGGTAAATTTTGTTTATTACTATATCGCAAGTTTTAGTCGTGAACATACAATAACCTGTTAATTAGAAAAGCTACCGTGTGTTTGTTAACAATAGTATTTTCCCATATTTTTTAACTTTGTCTTTAAAATTAATTATACAAATATACTTTAACATATGACTGTCCATAAATGTGGGGATGGATACCATCTTTCTGCAGAAAAAATTACTGTTTTGTTTCTGTTGATATTACAGATTCTTCAGCATCTCCTGGGAACTATGTAGTAAGTACACTGTTATGCATATGTTCATTAAAATAGATGTTACATTTTATTTAAGCAAGGAAATCATTGTCCACATGAAGAACCCTTGTGCGTTGGTTGAGAACCAAACATCTGATCTGCAGCTGGCTGTTTTGTCTGCCATCTGTGGTGCATATGTTGATATTCATTACCAGAGTCATTATCAGTCTGTTCTAAATTGCCGAGTATTATGCTTTATTTCAGCATATGCTTCCATAACCAACAAAATATATTGTGTTCAATAATAAAGGACAAAAAAACCCAGCTTCTTTGGTGATACAATATTGTGCATGAATTTCTGAACTTCTTCAGCAAAAAAAGCATTTGAAAAATTAGAAGATTTTGTCTCCCTAAAGATGTATAAATGGGTCCCTATAGCTAACATTTTAGAGGATATTTTTTATTCTTACGATTACCTTCTAGAGACTTGAAAACTTGTTATCATTTCATAGGGAAGTTTTGTTTTTATTTCACAAATATTGTCTTAATTTATTATGTATTTATTATGGTATTCTTTTTTCTTAGTATTAACTGTCATTCGACCCCAGGTGACATGTGCTACACACAGGATTTGTGCAGCACAACACAGACCTGAAGGCAATGCTATATGAGCAGCACAGCACAGTGAAGCATGATGTAGACCTACTCAGGTTAACTGTTAAGTGGATCACTAACTCTGATGCACAGTGGTCTCCCAGTCAGGATCACTACATTCCACCCCTTGATCCACATGCAGTTTACCTTTCTTAAATATATTATAAATTACAGGCTATATTAGTAGCATTTCATTTAATAGAAAATTTCTTATATGTAAGCTAGTGACTGCAAAGAATAATAGTACAAGGATAATGGCAAGTAAAACAAATACTGGTTGGGAAAATAAGTGTAGAACAACAATATTATGGCTAGGACTACTGAAGATGTCCTGCCATTGGGCTCCACCCCTCCTCCCATGTCCTCTAAGACAATGGTGGTGCAAATTTCACCCAACGGTCCAGTTACCTGTGTAGTAGACAGGAAGGAGCTTTAGTGCAGCCAGAGGGCAGAGGCATCCAACACTTCATGTTTGTTGATACATAGCATGCAGCAAACAAAAGCAGCAGTGTGAGGCTCCACACAGAAGTTCTGTATGAGAAAAATCAAAGGCATTATTTTATGTAAAGCATATGTTGAGGCACATAATAACAAGGTGTGTTTGCCTGCTCCTCTAGGATTAGGTACATGGCCTCTGGTCCCTTTGCCAGCATCTCTGCAGGGATTAATTTCCCTTGAGGTTTCCGATATGGTACATGCAGTTGCCTCTGACTCCCAGTGAGTCATGAGACTCTGATAGCATCTTGGATTGTACCTCATAGTGCTGGTGACCTAATAGAAGCTGATAGGAAGTATAACCTTGGAGCTATGCTTTATTATTCAAATTCATTACAGCTTGTTGTATCACTGTTGTTCAGTTACATAGAGTGTGAGAGGAACAGCATATGTAACTGTTCCTTCAGTAAGGCATTGGTCTACTTGACTAGACCACCTCCCCTGGGATGATGGGCTATGTGGTATATCCAGTTTACTTTGTGTTCAGCAGTCCAATGTTGAACCTTTTGACCTGTAAAATGAGACCCATTGTCCAACTGGATACAGGTAGGTGGGTCTAAGTAATCACTGGCCTTTCAGTGCCCCTTTCTGTTTGGCAGACACAGCAACATAGTTGGTATATGTGTCAACTATTACCAATATGTACTGCAACTGCTGTGCCTTTGATAAGGACCTGATGTAATCTATTTATGCAGTATAGTCAGGGACAGGGCCTCATTGAATCTGGTCATAAGACTGCTGAGGCAAATTTTAATCTTTCAATACCTTAAAGACTGCACACTGCTACACTAGCTCCTGAATGGCTTCCTAGGTACTTTGGGTCTATCTGTACCATCAACACCCAGGTGCCCAGATTTTTTGTGGACCCATTTACCAAGGGCTTCCTCATCAGGTAATAGAACATCAAGGGATAGAATATCAGGAGGTAAAGTAGCACTATTAATTTGAGGCAATCGATCAACTGTGGCACTGTGATCCCACCCCTCCCTGAAACCTTGGGTGAGGTGGACATCTTCATGTTGGACCCACAGGTTTGAATTCACACATTCCTGGACTGTTTCCATAAGTCCTGACCCCTCAATGTTTTCCTGTGTATTGTCCACTTGTATGCTTGTTGCTTACTAACCTATGTGGTTAATCCCTTATACAGCACCCAGGAGTTGGTATATATGCATAGCTCAGGACTGGAGGTCTCTTATATCATGAGCACAGCCATTAGTTCTGTATACTGACTGCTACCCTCTTGCCTTGCCAAGTCAATGAGATTTGCTTGGAAGAATTAAAGGTGGCAGTCTTCTACCATCTCTCCCCCTTAACAAATCTTGCTGACCCATCCATGAAGCAGTCACACTGCCTCTGCTCAGGAGTGAGGCATTTGTGTGGTAGGGCTTCCTGAGCCCAGGCAGGGGATAGTGGCTCCAAACTATATTGACATACAGTTGTCAATTCTAGTTGGGCTACTTTTTCCTGCAAGGCACTGTTTTTGTGGGGACCTGACTTTGCCTGTGTGGGGCTATATAATTTCCCTTTTACAGTGCTGGACTGCTGTGCATTTCCAATTATACAGTTCGTATTATTAGGCAAACCCCACGGCAATATAGGCAAGCCCACATTCAGAATAAGTCTTTCCCCCAGTGACTCAATCAGTTTCTAGTAGAAGCACAGTATGCAGACAGCAATTGTTTTTCAAAAGCATGTACTTCTGAGGGGGGAAGGGGGGGCAACATGACCAGAAGCTAAGCGGGATTCGCCTCCCTTTACTTTTTTGTCACAAGCTCCAATATGCTAGCGATATCATCTCCTGAAACTAGGACTTCCAACTCGGAAGGTTTGTGAGATTGCTTAGGACCCAGTGCAACAACATAGGAGACTGTGCTTAGCTGGTTTGAAAGCTCTTTTTTCATCTTCCCAGACCAACTGGTTCCTCTTTCTTGCTACATTATGCAAGGGTCTTAAAATCTGTGCTGTGAAGGATAAACTGACCAATACCCCAGTAATCCTACAAAGCACTACACATGTACCTTGCTTTGGGGCTCAGCTATGTTAAGTACTGTTTGGTTTGCATCTTCAGGCAGAAACCAGCAGGGTCTTTGACCGATGATGCCTAAAAATGTTACTTCGGATGATGCCTAAAAATGTTACTTCAGATGCTGGGCGTTGTGCTTTTTGTGGATTGACTTCCAACTATGCCCCTCATGGTATTCACAACACTACTCAGTGTGTCTCTATCATCCTGCTCTGTAGGTCCAGTCAGCAGGATGTCATCAGTGTAATGGAAGAGTTGACACTATAGACAGGCTGTACTCCTCCAAGTGCTGAACCACAATCCCATGACAAATCATAGGCAACATTGTAAAGGTCTACTGCTGGCCTTCCCTAGAATAGGTAAGATGTTCCTGCAACTCTTCAGCAAAAAAAATACTGAAGAAGGTATTTGCCAAGTCAATGGTAATAGTATGTAAGATACTTGCCTTGGCTTCCAGTGGCTTGAACAGGGTGAAGATGTCCAGCACTACCACAGCTATGGGAAGGACGGCTTTGTTCAAAAGCTGGTAATCCACAGTCATATGCCAGGACCCATCTGGTTTCTCTGCAGGCCAATTAGGACTATTAAAAGGTGAACATGTGCATCTGATAACTTGACTTCTAACAACTGTTTGATAGTTTGAAAAATTTTAGCATGCCCCCCAGGCAACCAGTATTGTTTTAAGGCTATATGATGGGAGTGTGTGCGTGTGTGATCAGAACAATGGGGGAAGTCCCAATCCTCCCTACCATAAGTGCTTGGATCAGAACTGTTTGGATATCAAAAGAATATCTTCCCCTAGTGGTATAAAAGATCTTGCCTGCTAACAGACTGTGCCCTATGATATATTCTGGCACTCTCATAATCCATACTTGAACCAAAAATGATTGCAAGGTCAAAGAAACTCATTGTGCTGGCTCTTCTCCCCTCCCTCCAAATACATTAATATTCATCAGTTTATTCTTGGGGTAATGGGGTGGATTTTCATGAATTAGGGTTACTTCTGCCCCAGTATCCAGCAGGACCATAACCCATTGCTTATCATGCCAGTTCCAATGTATTACAAGCAGAATGTGTGGGCGGTGGTCCTCCCAGTTAGCTCCCTTTATTATCCCTACTGTAGAGGGACCACACATTTCCTATTCTTGTTTCCAAGGAGAAAGATCAGGGTATTTAGAGGCAGCTAGGGAGGATGCATCTTCACTGTTGACTGAGGGTGATGTGGGTGGAGCTGATGTCCCAGTGCTCTGTACTCCCCTTCACACCTTCCTCTTTTCTTTTGTTTTCTTATGCAAACTCCACATCTATCTGCCATCTATCTGCTCCATAGGCACTCATGCCTGCATTAGTGCCAGAAACATCTCTTTGTAATTCTTCCCTGGAACTGTTGCATTTGAAATGTGTCAGGTTCCTTCTCTTCTTTTTCAGTTTGACAATCATTAAGTTGTCCTAGTGATAGGATAACATCTGCAATGGGTCTTCCCACAGCAACCCCTAGCAAAGAAATTATTGACCCTTTCAAGGTAAATGGGTGCCCTCTAACATGCAGGTTTTCCTGCTGGGTACAAAAGGTTCCACATCAGGACTTTACAAGTTATGCAAATACACACCTTACTGTGTGGTTGATTCCCATAAATACTGATCAGCCTTAGTTATACTTTTCCAGGATTCTGTTTTATCCTGCCAAATGGTAGGTGAAGGATACTCTACTTTTAAAGCTTCCTGGACCCATGCTCACAGGGAATGAGATACATTTTCCTGCACTCAGCCACTGGGTAATCATAGGGTTTTGCGAGATGACACCAAAACACTTTAATTCTTTAGTATTTAAATTTATACTATTGCCTCCAAAGTCCCACACTTGCACTAGCCAGTGAAACAACCTTTCTCACGGCCTTTGACAGTATGCTTTTGCTAAATCTTGCAACTCAGGCCATCTAAAATCACACACTGAGACAACCTGGTGGGGTACTGTAACAACCAGATAATATAGAAACGCCAAAAATAATGTTTCACCATTGTTTCTGCCTGTCAAAACTTCCTACCAAAAATTCTGTCAGCTTTCTGCCAGTTCTCACCAGAGTTTCCTGCTGGAGTTTTCCTGCCAAAAGATCCTGCTACTGTTTATGGTTATCATATTTCTTTGAACATCTGAATAGGGCTATGTGTCAAGAAACCATGTACAACCTCCTTTGAACACTATAAAAGTTGAGGAAAAATGTAACTGTTATTGTTGGAACGGCCGAAGCGACACAGATAGCGGTCGTAGCCCAGGTGTAAGGTGATCAGAAAGCTGTTTATTGCTCTCAAGTGTTTCTTTTATACTCTTTGCATATTATCGTGCTACAACATAATTGTTTAAAAGTCTCAAGCATAAAACACTGTACATACTTTCATTGGTGACACAGAAGACACTGTACATACTTTCATTGGTGACACTGAAGACACTGTGCACACTGTCATTGGTGATACTATAAACATTTTGATTGGTGACCTTTGGTCTCGACTGCATTACGTTTGTTCTGTCCAGTATTGCAGTAAATATTTCCTTAGAGTTGTTTACATTCCTCTGCAGTTTCCATATCATCCTTGTAGTAGACGTGGTCCTTGTATAACAAGGAAGAAGAAATACGCTCCTCGTGGGTGGTGTGGACAAAGAGACTTTATTTCAAAATTCCCACTCCTTATATCCCTGTATACCATGTGACTTCTTCAGCCAATAGAGTTATATGTGACCACGCATGTTCTCTCGGGTCTACTGCCCTGGCACATCCCTCGTGCCTTCAGACACGCCTCCCACATATCCCCTCTCTTAATTATCTAAAGAAGTCACAAAAACAGTGCAAAACAACAGTGTAAACAACAGTGCAAAACATTCAGAACATTGTAAACTGCCAAACTCGCAGTGACCCAGCACACTGCTTGCTTGGTTTCTTATACTTCTATTGTAAACCTTTTTAAAACTTCTTATAGTCCTATAGGGTAGTGCAACTTGGAGAATTACTTTATTAACTTAGGGCCTTAGCCCAACCATGTGTAAACTATAACTTTTGTTAACCTGAGGCTTTTTTAATAAGTGGGGATTTCAAACTTTATTTAAGAAACAGGATAAGCATAGCAAAAACTCAATTCTCTTAAAGTGACCTTGTGGTGTAGGTAATGTGGTTTTGTGAGGTGTTCTGTGTTTTTATATTTGTCCAGTCGCACAATTCTTTTATTCATTCACACATCTCATTCACTGACGGCCGTCATTCACTCACTCTCATACATACACCGATATTTTATAGATTGCTTGTTACCACATTGGTCATTCATTAATATAAACTTGAAACATAACGTAACTCTGCTTAAACTCCTGCGTTATGTGGTTCTTGCAGCTGTGATTGTGTACCTAAATAGGGTTTTACACACCTGGAGGGAATCCAGTTCTTTTCCTGTTGCCACACAAGCGTAACCTCTCCCCCAAGTCATAAGATCTAGAGGTCCTGTCCATTGCCCTGAAATCAAATCTTTTACCATGACTAGTGGCTTGGGAGAGGCAAACGCCTGAGATTTGTGCTGCTTCTCATATCTGCTTCTTTCAGCACTGTCACAATTTAAAAAATTGATAACATATGTGGCTTTCCACAAACGTTCCTGTGGACTATACAGATTCTCCCCCCCTTTTTGTTTTGCTAACATTTCTTTCAGTGTGCAGTGTGCCCTTTCTACAATTTCTTGTCCGGTAGGTGAGTGTGGGATTCCTGTGATATATGAGATTCCCCATTCTGATAGGAAATTCCTTACCTTTTCAGAGACGTATGCCAGTCCGTTATCGGTCTTTATTTGTTTTGGGGTGCCAAGGGTAGCAAAACAGCTTAACCAGTGTCTCACTACATCCTTGGCTTTCTCACCTGTGTGTGCTGTAGCAGTTATGTATTGTGAATGTGTGTCTACAGTTACATGTACATATTTTAAGGTGCCAAATTCGGGGATGTGTGTGACATCTGTTTGCCAAATCTCATTTGACATTAACCCTCTGGGGTTAATGCCTTCTGTGCTTAGGGAGATTGACTGAAATGTCACCATCAAAACCTGCCAAGGCAGCTTAGAACTCCGTGTCCTCAGTCAGCATCCAATCCAAATTGTCCTTCATGGCTGGAATGTAGATGACAGCTGGATCCCTTCCGTCCAGTTCCTGTAGTCATCCTCGGCCTTTAATGACAAGCTTAGCAAACATTTCATTAATTGTCCATACAGTTTTAGGCAGTGTGTGGGGCAGAAATAGCCATTCTAGAACCAGCAGTGGGTCCTTTTCAGTCTGGTCCCACTGAAACAAGACTGCAAATGGCTGGTACCTGCTGGGAACTAAGGCCAGGCAGATTGGCAGTTCAGGATCTCTCCTCCTGCCCTGCCTATTTTCTATTGCCTTGGCACAAATGTCTAACGCCTGCTTGGCCTCTGCTGTCAGAGTCCTGTTAGACGTTAGGTCAGAGTCCCCCTTTAGTAACACAAAGAGAGGGTGTAGCTCCTCTGTGGTTAAGCCTAGAATAGGCCTTAACCAATTAATGGCTCCCAGGAGTTTTTGCAACTCATGTAAGGTTAAAGTGTCTTTTACCTCGAGCTGCAGTGGCTGTGGGGAAATCTCTTGTTGTGTGATTCTCCATCCAAGGTAAGTCCAGGGCTGCGATCGCTGGATTTTCTCTGGAGTAACCTGCAACCCTGCTTCTTGGACAGCATCAGTCAGAGCAGTAACAACAATTTGCAGTTCATTTTCTGTGACCATGCTAATTAAAATGTCATCCATGTAGTGGTAGATTATTGCAGAAGGAAAACACTTTTTGATGGGCTGAATAGCGTTTACCACTACTGTTTGACATATGGTAGGACTATTCCTCATCCCCTACGGAAGGACAACCCAGTGATACCTTTGCATAGGCTGTGAGTTGTTCACTGCCGGGATGGAAAATGCAAATCTTGGTGCATCCTCGGGGTGCAGAAAGATGGTAAAAAAGCAGTCCTTTAAATCAATTATTATTAGCAACCAATTTGCTGGAAGCATAGCAGGTGAGGGTAACTCTGGTTGCAATGCCCCCATCGGTTCAATGGCTGCGTTTACTGCCCTGAGGTCCTGCAGTATCCTCCATCTACCAGTCTTTTTGGGGATGCAAAATACAGGAGTATTCCAGGGACTGTTTGCTGGCACAATGTGTCCTGCTTCTAATTGCTCTGTTACAAGCATTTTTAAATGTTCAAGTCGTTCCTTTTTCATAGGCCACTGATCTACCCAGACCGGTAGGTCACTTTTCCAGACTAGCTTAATAGGTACTTGGGATGGCTGACCAATGGCCCCTATTGAAAAACCTGGTTACTTGTAGGAGGAATTTGCATTACTGTGCCGAATTGTCCAAGTACATCGTGTCCCCACAAAGAACAAGGGATTGGAACTATGAAAGGAGTTAGCTTTGCTAATTGTCCCTCTGGTCCCAAGACAGTGAGTATTTGAGCACTCTGTCTGGGTCTTTGCGTGCCTCCCACCCCCTGAATGGTTGCAACTGGGCAAACAGTAGGCCAGTCAAGTGGCCATTCGGAGTTCTTTATGATGGAAACATCGGTTCCTGAATCCAAAAGGCCTGTAAATCTGTGCCCATTAACTTGGCACGTCATGAGCGGCTGTGTGACTGTGATGGCTGCTACCCAGTAAACCTGTGGGTGTCCTGTGCTGCCAAAGGCCCCTGAACCCCGCTCCCTCCCCCCCTCCCCTGCAGGTGACGCACTGTAGAAGGGGATTAATTGAGCAATCTTCTGTCCTTTTGGGATAAAACGGGGGTGAAGGGGTCCATGCCATTATTAGAATATCACTATGAGAATCTGAATCTATTACTCCTGGCAGCACAAACAAACCCATTCTGGTGGTGGAGGGTCTTCCAATCAGCAGTGTGTGCACCCCTGGGCTAAGGGGACCCCAACGCCCAGTCGGGATTAGCACTACCTCAGTGGAAGTTATGAAAACTGTGTCCCTGTTGGATAAGTCCAGCCCAGTGCTGGGGTGTAGGGGCACAGATTGCTGGCTGTTGTGGGGGGGCACAAATTGCCAACCTGCTCCCTTGTGTCGCATATGTTTGCTGTATCGGGGCGTGCGACAGCGCCCCTCGCCTCCAGTTTTTTGGTACCCTCCTTGCTTTTGGGTGTTTGCGGGGTGCCACGGTTAGGGGTTTCCTAGGGCAATCCCTTTGAAAGTGGTCGGGGGCCCCACAAATGTAGCAACCATTTCTGGGTCTGAGCCCCTCCTGTGTTCTCAATTGAGCACTCAGTGCTACTGCCAGTAAATCAGTTTGGTGTGTCAAGGAACCAACCCCCTGGCAGGCACGAACTAATTCTGAAATGCTACAAGTTTCCCTTTTAGGAAGGGTCTGCAGAACTCTTTTACAATCAGGGTTCGCATTTTCGAAAGCCAGTTGCCTGCTGAGAATTTCCCTGGCTTCCTCGTTTTCAATCTACCTATCTAGGGTAGATTGCAGCCAATCTAGGAATTGTGTGTAAGGTTCTGTTGGGCCCTGCATTATCTTTGTGAATGACAAGTTTGTGTCTTTGTCTGATGTGGGTAGTTTTCTCATTGCCCGCATTGCATGTTTGGCTATAACTTCATATATTTCTCTATTGTACCCAGTTTGTGCATCTATGGAACGGTAGTTACCCTCCCCTGTGAGTTGGTGTGTTGTTACCCCTGCTTGTGGGTCATTAGCATAAGCGGAACAGATTTCTCTGAAATTGTTCAGCCATACATTATACTGTGTGTTAGTGAGGCTTATTTTCAACAGGGTTCTCCAGTCATGTGGCATGAAAATGTATGTGGTGCTCAGTGTTTCCAAAAATGCAAGTGTGTTAGGGGAAGATACACCAGTTTCTCTTATCAGCTGCCTCAGCTCTTTAGTCAGTTCATGTGGCAAGGGTTGGAACCTGCGGCTTTGATGTGGACCGATAATGACGGGGCATGCATTTATAACTTGTAAGTCCCCTATTCGCAATGCCTCCTCTCTACACAAACCCCATCTATCAATCGAACCCTCTCCGTATGTTACTTCCTCCCCTCCCGGTTGAGTCATCCCGAGATCCCCTTCCTCCTCCCCCCATTCCTCCCATCCCTCCCCCCCTGCAGCTTTGGCGAAAGCGGCTGCCTGTGGGTGGGTGGTGGGGGGGGTGGGTGGGGGGTACGGTGCGGGGGCGGGGAAGGACGGGTTGTTGTCCGTTCTGCGTGGCGGGTGAGATGGCGGTGTCCGCCCCTGGACGCGTGGTCGGCGTTCATCCACAGTATGGGTTGGCAAGTAAACTGGGTTAGCCCCCCCATCGCCATTACAGGCCCCCCCGCGGTGATCCCACAGGCTGGAATCTCGCATCTGGGGCCTCACTCCTTCCCGCCGACCCGTGTCCCTTGGGTTCCCGGTTCCCTTCCCCATAGTGGAATCGTGAAGGGCTCCACCCCCTCCCCCCGCCGGGCCTTGTGTGTTTAAACTGCGACGCGTAAAAGATGGGCTACTGCTTGCAGCGTGAGTGGGGGTGTGTGTGTTTGTTGTTCTTTGCTGTGCTCTGCGTAAAGCAGACATTATTGCTTGCCAGGTTGGGAAAGCATTGTTCGCTTGGGAGTCTCCCCCCTGAGCTTTGAGTTTTATAAGATTGCCTATTTTGTCCCAAATTTGTATGTGGAGGGCTTCAACCAGAGGCAGTTCTGGTACAGCTGCTTTAATGAACCCTACCAACTGTTAATTCAACCCTTGTAACCTGTATGTAATACGGCTTCAGCAGTGTAGCTAATGTGTCTGTGTCTTGTGAGAGTTCGGTGGGGAAGAAGTTTCCCATTTTACCTTGAGTCTCGGCGCTGCTAGCGTGTGCTGCTGAAGAGGGTCTGTCTGTTTGCTGGTCTGTCCCGGTCCTCTGTCAGTTGGGTTTGCGATGTTAGGGTGCTGTGTCCCGGCGTCAGCGGCTGGTGTCCCGGTGCAGGCTGCGAGCGGCGTGCGCAGGGCAGCGACGTGCACGGGGCAGTGGCGGGTGCGGGCAGGCGAGCAGGCGAGGGGTGCAGGCATGGGCTTCAGCGATGAACAGCGGCGTCAGTCACGCGGCGGCGGGTGCTGGTGGCGGTTGGCGGGCGCGGGTTCTGTTCTCCGGCGAACGGGCGGCAGCGGAGGTTGGCGGCTCGGTGTGTGGGCGGCGGCTGCGGTAGCGGTTCCGAGGTTCCCGCAGATCGCTGGGTGGTGCAGGGGTCGGAGTGCACTGTAGTAGGAAGGCGCGGCACCGCACTTTCGGTAAAGTCCCGAGCGGTCTGAATGCAGTGCTTTTAAGCACACCCGCAGGGTCAGTCAGCGGTGGTAAGCAGGCGGGGAACCGCGGTAGTTTCTGCTACAGAAAACTGGAACGGGGTTCCGCAGGGGTCCGCGGTGGCTGGAGGTGTTAAGAGGCTGCAGTGGCAAGGTTACTTCTCGCACGTGGTCCGGTCGGAGCTGCTGGCAGCGGCAAACCGCTTTTACCAGATGACTGACGCACGGGGGACCAACAGACTTTTCCCTGGCGATCCTAAGGTGTTCCACGGTCCAGGTCTCCGAGTTGCAGGCACGCTCTCGCCCAGGGAGCAGTGTAGGCGTGCGGAATGCCTCCCAGTTGGACTCACCGCTTTTGATGTTGTGTGGACCCTCCCTGCTCTATCCGGTGGCTGCTTTGACCTCTCGATTTCTTCTTTAACTTCTTTCTTCTCTCCTATCGTGCACTATCCTAATATTTTGGAGCTCCTAAACTAACTGTCCGTTTCTCAGATGCCACTAAGACAACGGGATTACTGACGTCAAGGTTTTTTGCGGTAAAGGTTCCCGTCTCCGAAAATTGAGACGATATCGGAACCACCAGCTAATTTCCTGATCCAGGATAAATATCTGGCTTAATATAAGCTAAAAGAGTCCGTGCTCGAGCGCCATGTGTAACGGCGGGGCCCTTGTGTAACAAGGAAGAAATACGCTCCTCGTGGGTGGTGTGGACAAAGAGACTTTATTTCAAAATTCCCACTCCTTATATCCCTGTATACCATGTGACTTCTTCAGCCAATAGAGTTATATGTGACTGCGCATGTTCTCTCGGGTCTACTGCCCTGGCACATCCCTCGGGCCTTCAGACAAGCCTCCCACACATCCTCTTTTCAGGGATATACTGGTCAACATCAATTGCTTCGTCGATAAGTGCCAGGCTGCTGACAGACCCGCTGTCAACCCCAACAGAAAAATTTTGGAAAATCAGGGAGAGGAAAGGAAGAGAGAACCAGTTACCCTAGCTGAGAATCTCTCCCCACCTCCCCCCCACCTTTTCTCCTCCACTGCATGCTGCCTGCCTGCCACCGGAGACTGAAACTCTGCCGACCTAGAGAAGAACTGAAACCCACCATGCCACATGCTTGAGTGATATCCTTCTACCCTTACCATATTTCTGATGGCTGAAAGGTGCTACTGAATTGGCTGGGACACGGTCTGGGAAATGGTTCAACATGAGCGGCAAGGTCACACATCCTGGATGCATTCCAGAGAACTAAAGCTGCTAAGACAAACACACACACACATATCCCCTGCAGTTAAAGAGATAACATCTAAACAGAGGGAAAAAAAAGGCAGAAAATGCTTCTCCCCCCCCCCCCCTCCTCAGAAAGGTAGTAAAGTGATATCTTTCCTATGCTTCTAGAAGTAATCTTAGCTTTTTCCAACCTTTTCTTATTTTTTCCTCTTTGCATCTCTTAGCAACTAATAAAATCAGTTTTTGGTATCAACAGATAACTTGTGTGAGTTTTAATTTTACTCAGGGGAATATTTGAGTCTGAAGTTCTTTCTGCAACATTTAAGCAGATTGTAATAGGTGCCCCCAGAAACCCTTTGCTTTGTGATTTACTAATGACCAGATGGAATGTGGTTGCAACACTCATCCTCTGATCCCAGTGTCTATTTGTCCTCACCAGAGAACCAGGGGTCTTCATCCTACCATTCGTCTCTCTGGTGTATAGTTCATACTTTAGTCAGTTCCCTTCTTGGGCTGCTCCATGCACCCCTCCCTGCATCACAGATACCTGCACCACTGCTTGCTGCCTGGGGAGCTGCGGATGCAACAGTCAGCAACAGTGACAGCCAGTGATAGGTGACTGAGGTAAGTCTGATGGTGAAGGTTAGATTGAGCTGTACAGGGGGGTTCCCAAGATCAGGGACCCACGAGCAGAAGCCCCGAGCCCTGTCCAGACCCGGAAACCCTTGGCAGCCAATCAGGCGTGGAGGCGGCATTGCCAGGAACAGAGAGGGAGATTCAAACCTCTCTAAGGAGCGTGAGCCACCCAGAGCTGGGAGAACAAACAAGGGCGGGCAAACAAACAGGGGTGTGGCACGACAGTTCACACAGGCAGGGCGACCAGGAAGGTGTGGTCTCCCATCAGTTTAAGAGGAGTGTTCAGGAATGGTTTCCACTTGACAAGGCACTAGGTCCTCTGCATATGACAGAAAGGACCTGTGTCATGGTTTAAGCACAGCTGGAAATTAAGTACCATGCAGCAGCTTGCTCAACCTCCCTCTCTCCCCCACTCAACCCAGTGGAACTGGGAGGAGAATCAAAGTAAAACTTGTAAGTTAAAAACAGTTTAAAAATTGAAAATAAAGAAAAATACAGTAATAATGGTAAATAATAATAATGATGATAAAAAGGGAAAAACAAATTATGCACAATACAATTGCTCATCACCCACTGCCTGATACCAGAGCCCCCTTCCTGAATCCAGATCGACCACCCTTCCAGGTAACTCCCCCCCAGTTTATATACTGGGCATGATGTTCTATGGTGTGGAATACCCCTTTGACCACTTCAGGTCACCTGTCCTGGCTATGCTCCCTCCCAGTTTCTTTTGTGTACCTCCTCACTGGCAGAGCATGAGACAAAAAAACCCCAAAGTTCTTGACTTAGGATAAACACAATTTATCAAAAACCCCAAACATCAGTGTGTTATCAACACCATTCTCATTCAGAATCCAAACCACAACACTGTAACAGCTTCTGAGAAGAAATTAACTCTACTCTAGCTCAAACCAGGACAAAGTGGCAACACAAACGGAGTTGCCACAAAAACATACAGGGGTCCAGGTCTTGTGCTCCAGGGAGTGCCAGAGCCTGGCACTGGCATCAGAGAGTAACAGAGATAACGACTGTGTGAGGTGCAAGCAGGTCAATGATCTGCTCTGCTTGGTGGTACAACTCAAAGAGGAGGTGGAAAACTTAATGAACATTAGGATGCCTGAGGAAGAGATTGATTGGTGGAGCCGTTCTCTACCTGCCCTGAGGCAAATGAACCAGCTAAATGCACCTCAGGAAGTGAGTTCTCTACAACAGGCAGGAGGGGACCTAGGAGATGGGGGAAATGGAGGTAGGTCCTTGCTCGGGGTGGCAGGTGAATCCCCTCTTGACCTCCCTCCCCTCCCCACGTCTCCCTACAGAATAGGTATGAGGTTCTGAAAACTGAGGGCCAGGAAATCAATGACCATGATGAAGGACCATCTAGGGGGTTGCCTAAGTCGAATCAGCCAGCTTCAAAAAGGAAAAAAGAAGGGCAATTGTTGTAGGCAATTCCCTGCTGAGGGGAATGGAGGATCCAATATGCAGACCAGACCCAACCCATAGGGAAGTCTGCTGCCTCCCTGGGACCCGGGTAAAGGATGTAGCCAGGAAGCTTCCTGATTTGGTGAAGTCCTCTGACTACTACCCTCTATTAGTATTCCAGGTAGGTAGGGATAAGATTGAAGGAAGAAGTCCCAGGGTAATCAAAAGGGACTTCAGGGCACTGGGGCACTTGGTTAAAGGAGTAGATGCTCAGGTAGTTTTCTCCTTGATTCCTTCAGTACTAGAGGAGAATACTGGAAGGAATAGGAAAACTCAACAGATCAATATATGGCTAAGAGGCTGGTGCCATAGGTGGAATTTTTGGTTTTTTAACCATGGGGCGGCTTACATGTCACCAGGCCCATTTATGTCAAATGGGGTACACCTGACTCAGAGGGGGAAAAGGATTATGGCCCAGGAATTAGCAGGTCTGATTGAGAGGTCTTTAAACTGGGCTTGAAGGGGGAAGGGGACAAGACCAGGTTCACTAGAACTGAACCTAGAGGTGACAGGCCTGTGACAGGGACAAAGCCCAGCTGATGTGTGTGTACACCGATGCATGCAAGAAACAGGGAGAGCTGGAAGCCATTGTACTGCAGGAAAGTTATAATGTAGTTACTATCACAGAAACATGGTGGGATGACTCTCATGACTGGAGTGCTTCAATGGATGGCTACAAGCTCTTTAGAAGAGACAGGCAAAGCAGGAGAGGTGATGGTGTAGCCTGTATGTTAGGGAGTGTTTTGATTGTATTGAAATTGATGATGATGAAGATGACAAGCTTGAGTGCCTATGCGTAAAGATTAGGGGGAAGGTCAGCAGGGCAGATGTCATGGTGGGAGTCTGTAATAGATCACCCAACCAGGATGAACAGACAGATGAGGCATTCTACAAAAGGCTGGCAGAAGTCTCATGGTTGCCAGCCCTTGTACTCATGCGTGACTTCAACTTGGAGGATTTCTGCTGGAAATACAACACAGCAGAGACAAAGCAGTCTAGGAGGTTCCTGGAGTGTGTAGAAGACAACTTCCTAACACAACTGGTAAATGAACCTACCAGAGGAGGTGCTCTGCTAGACCTGTTGTTTGTGAACAGAGAAGGACTAGTGGGTGATGTGATGGTCGGTGGCTGTCTTGGGCATAGTGACCATGAAATGTTAGTCTTCAATACTGGATGAAGTAAGGAGGGGCACCAGCAGAACTTCCACCTTGGACTTACAGCAGGCAGACTTTGGCCTGTTTAGGAGATTGACAGAGTCCCTTGACAGTCAGTCCTGAAGGGCAAAGGAGTCCAGGAAGGCTGGATGTGCTTTAAAAAGGAATTGTTAAAATATTGAGGAGCAGACTGTCCTCGTGTGTAGGGGGCCAAGTCATCAGGGAAAGAAACCGACCTGGTTAAACAGAGAACTTAGGCTGGAACTTAGGAAAAAAAAGAGAATCTATCCTCTCTGAAAGGAGGGTCAGGTAAGTTGGGAGGACTACAGGGATGTCGCGAGGTCATGTAGGGAGAAGATTAGAAGGGCCAAAGCCCAAATAGAACTTGATTTGGCTGCTGTAGTAAAAGACAACAAAAAGTTTCTATAAATACATTGGCAGCAAAAGGAGAGTCAAGGAGTGTCTCCCTCATTTGTTGAATGCAGAGGGTAGTGTAGTGTCAGGGGATAAGGAAAAGGCAGAGTTACTTAATGCCTTTTTTCCTCAATCTTCAATATCAAGACCGGTTGTCCTCAGGATACCCAGCCCGCAGAGCTAGAAGTTGGTGATGGGGAGATGAGGGAAGCCCCCAGAATCCAGGAGGAAATGGTTAGTGATCTGCTATGCCAATTAGACACTCATAAGTCTATGGGCCCTGACAGGATCCACCCCAGAGTAATTAGGGAACTGTCGAAAGAACTTACCAAACAACTCTCAATCCTCTACCAGCAGTCCCGGTTAACTGGAGAAGTTCCAGCTGACCGGAAATTGCAAATGTAATGCTCATCTACAAGAAGGGTCAGAAGGATGATCTGGGGAACTACAGACCTGTCAGCCTTACCTTGGTTCCGGGCGAGATTATGGAACAGATTGTCCTGAGTGCCATTACACGACATATGAAGGGCAACCAAGGATCAAGCCCAGTCAACATGGATTTATGAAAGGCAGATCCTCCTCAACCAACCCGATCTCCTTCTATGACAAGGTGACCTGCTTGGTAGATAGGAGGACTGTGGATGTGGTCTATCTGGACTTCAGTAAAGTGTTTAACAACATCTTCCACAGCATTCTCCTAGAAAAACTGACTGCTCATGGCTTGGATGGGTGGACTCTTTGATGGGTAAAAAACTGGCTGGATGACTATGGCAGTTGATGCACGGACATACCAGATTGGGTGCAATATGGCAAATTGTCTATTCCTGCACTAACAAGCCCTTATATACTGTGGTGGTTTGGAAAAAAAAGTTGTTCTAATGGATGTAGAGAAGTTTTCAGACATGCACAACTCAGTATGGGGGAAGGGAATTATATTATAATTTATTGCTTACACAATAAATATTATAATACATATATATACATATATAACAATTTTAACTATCTCTTCTATAGTGAAAAAATATATATACATAGATCATCTCTTCTTTCCTTCAAAAAGTCCAGAAAGAAAGGAGAAGTCTTTTTTTTCCACTTTCAGGCCACAGCTCTTCCAAATTAATTTCTGCAGCACTTGGAAGAGTCTTTTATCTTGAACGCAGCAGTTTTGATTTGTCGTAGCTAGAATTCTTCTTTCTTATAAGGAGTGTGGGGGGTCTGCCCCCACTTCTCGCTCCTCAGCCACTTAGTCCGAGGGTATTACCGTGGGTTTCGGGGAACACCCGGGTTACCACATCTGCAGCACGAAGTGCAAGGGATTAAAGTTTAAAGTCTTTATCCCCTGCTCTTGCTCTGTGAAGGTTCCGACCCCCGGGGATGAGATCTCGGGAGACTTCTTCGGGGATTTCCACCCCTCCTCCCTGGGGTCAAAGAGTTCTAAGGGCTTTTAGTTTAGTCCTTACCCTAGAACTGATTCCAACCGATTCACTGGTGCTGCTGCCCCTTCGCAGGGACCTCTCTGCTCCAAGTGAAGCCAGGCAAGACCTAGAGAGCAAATGTAATATAGCAATACTAAAACTAGGGAGTTAATTTAGAAAGCAAGCCCTAAGCAAAAGCACAGAGAACTTGATCTTAGAAACAGTGGAGGCAATAATTTATTAAGGTATGCAGAACACACTGACACGAAAGAACAGAAGCATATGTACTTAGGAAAACAGAAGGAACTAAGAGGCTAAAATAAGTATATAGAAGGAAAACAAAGGCTGATAAGAAAAGAAGATGAACCAAAACCCAGGTGCCCTTGCCAAAATATCAGGAACTTCTGCCAAATACGCTAGGAAGGTAACCAAAGTAGGAAAGTTCACAAAGTTCATGATAATGATGAAAAGAGGACCAGAAGAACAGGAACGACCCTCCCAGATTCTCCCCAAATTGAAGACCACACCCCTAACTCCGCCTAAACTCCACCTGTTATGAATATTAAAATTGTATGTTGCGATATTATGAATATTCATATTGTATGATGCAATTGCTTGACAAAAATTTTATAAAAGGACCAGCTGTGAGTTGCTGGAATGAAGCAGTTTTATCCAGGGTGACCTGGCTGCTTCCTGACGCCGTAATTAATAAAGATACCTCCTGCTTATAGACTGAAAACTTTGTCTTTGAGCAGTTTCTCCATCCGTGCCTTTTTGGGGGCATAAAAATTGGCATCACAAGCTGTTGCGAGAGCTTGGGCTACTCCTCTGCAGAGGTTTGCTCTGTGGCTGCCTCCGCCTCAGGGTCCTAGCTGTCACTTTGATTCATCCCGGGCCATTCCATGGTTGTGTGTTGCAGCTGCCTCTCCAAAGGTCAGGGCTCTTCAACCTGACCCTCTCTGGCCACCCCTCGACACGCGTTGGCTCCGCTCCAGCGCCGTGTCTGCCCCCTGATTGCAACCCTCTGACTGGCTGATTGGGCACCGCGCTGCCGTTTTCCTCCCTGACAATGGGAAGGCAGCAGGGTCTTAACTCAGCATCCTGGCTCAGCTACAAGTCCCACCGAGTTAGGGCCGGGAAAGGAAAGAAGCCCCCGGCTCCAACGGTCAGGGGCAGGGGGGCAAAGGCCCCCCGGCCCCATGCCACACGTGGCACTTCAAGGCATGGCTGCTTCTCCTTCTAGTTATGCAGTTAAAAATTAACCTCTTCTCTTCCTGTTCTGTGAGTATGTAATTTCTGCAGGGGCACCTAAGTTTTTTATTGACCCAGTATCAAAAACACTACCACCTGGGGCAGACTATCACCAGCCCCAGGGGAAAAAGACTTTTCCAAACCACCACAATTCCATCCCTTGCCCTTGCGAAATTACATACAACCATTTCAAATTCTACAACTAACATACAATCTTCAATATACAAAATATAATGAAAATTTCTCTACTATAATTCAATACATTATTATAGACTTAATTCTATTTTAAGTACCTACATTACAACTATAGTTCTGCTTTCTACAATGGTTCAGTCTGTTGTGTCTGAAAACTTTTCTCAGTTGTTTTAAAAAGAGTTTCATGATTTTGTTTGCATTATCCGAGTCACGGCATACCTCCTGTGACATCACATATTTCCCACAGTTCTTAGCAAGTCCTTCCAGTGGGCATGCTCTGCTGAGTATTCTCTCTGGGGACTTACTGTGGAGACTACATCTCCCATGGTTCCTTGTGACATCTTCCTATACAATGTTAACCCTTTCCCATACAGATGACTGGGCCCAGAGAGTTGTGGTGAATGGAGCTAAATCCAGTTGGTGTCCATTCGCTAGTGGTGTTTCCCAGAGCTCAGTTTTTGGGTCACTCCTGTTTAACATGTTTATTGATGATCTGGATGTAGGAATTGAGTGCACCCTCAGTAAATTTGCAGATGACACCAAGTTGGGTGGGAGTGTTGATCTGCTGGAGGGTAGGAAGGGTCTATAGAGAGACCTGGACAGAATCGATCAATGGGCTAAGGACAACTGCATGAGGTTCAATTAGGTGAAGTGCCAGGTGCTGCACTTGGGTCGCAGCAACCCCATGCAGTGCTACAGGTTGGGGGAAGAGTGGTTTGAGAGCTGTTTGTCAGACAGGGACTTGGGGGTGCTGGTTGACAGGCAGCTCAATATGAGCCAGCAGTCTGCCCAGGTAGCCAAGAAGGCCAATGGCATCTTGGCCTGTATCAAGAGTAGTGTTGCCAGCAGAACTAAGGAAGTGATCATCCCTCTGTACTTGGCACTGGTGAGGCTGCACCTCAAGTACTTTGTCCAGTTCTGGGTCCCTCCCTTTAAAAAAGACATTGAGGTACTGGAGCATGTCCAGCATAGGGCAAGGGAGCTGTGAAAGGACTAGAGAACATGTCTTATGAGGAACATCTGAGGAAGCTGGGTTTGTTTAGTCTTGAAGTCTAGAGAAGAGGAGTCTCAGTTTCTCTCTACAACTACCTGAAAGGAGGTTATAGTGAGGTGCGGGTTGGTCTCTTCTGCCATGCCTACAGTGTGAGGACAAGAGGAAATGGCCTTAAGATGAGACTGGGGAGATTCAGATTAGATATTAGAAAAAAAGTTTTCACTGTTAGGTTGGTCAGGCATTGGAATAGGTTGCCCAGGGAGGTGGTGGAGTCACTATCCCTGGAGGTGTTTAAGAGGCATCTGGATCTGGCACTGGGTGATATGGTTTAATGGTTTAGTGGTTACAGTGGTAGTGCTGGGTTAACAGTTGGACTTGATGATCTTAAAGGTCTCTTCCAACCTTCACAATTCTATGACTCATGCAATTCATTTTGCATCAACTCTGAACACCGCCATGTCCATATCAAGCATGTTAGTAACAACCAAAGACAACGCAAATATTCCTTGCCTTTTCCTTTCCTCAGTCCCTGCTTTATAAGACAAGATAATACTTCAACTCAGGTGAGGCATTTGGAAAATTCCTCCTCACTTTTCCAATCCATTGGTGAAGCTACCTGGGCTACATACTTTGCAAATGCCCCTCCGGCTGCTTGCAGGGCCAGCCAGGCATCCAGCTTCTCTCTTCTTCACTATTCTTTCTCCTGAAAGGTATTTCTCACTTGATCCTGCTGACTATCCCAAAAGTTTTGCACCAGAAAGTGCTGGTCTGTTATGATCCCATTAAGAAAGGCATTTGGACTCTGCAAAGTATCATTTAAAATGCTATTTATTAGAGTTAACAGTGTAAAGAAAGAGAAAATAATATAGATAAACTTACATCCCTTTAGATGCTGGGAACTCCAAGTGGTGTAGCATCAAACACCTAAAGTGCCATCTCCACTGTGCAGACCCAGATCCCATCCATGGAAATGATTCCCCATTTTGGTCATTCAAGCTATTATAGGATTTTCAGAAAAGGAAACAACTGTCTTCACCATTTCTGCTGGCAAACAGGAAGGATGT